ACACGACTTGTACACAGAGCTTCAGTAGGAAACTAACCTGAACTTCAAGCAGAAAATTGGACAAATTTGATTTTTACCAGTACAATCAGAGCATCATGTCATATGAAACTGTAAGCAACTGTCAACCGACAAACTCTCCGATAATCAAGATAAAACAGCTATAAAAAAAATATCAAGAGTATCGTTGCATTGGCAGGGTGGCAACAGTACATGGTTACTGAGGCGTATCAAGTGGCAAGAACGATAACTGTAACGATTCACACCCAGTTATCTCCCTCTGATAATGCAGATAATGGCCGCGTGAGACGTGCTACTAATCAGGCTCTTACATTAGCATTTTTTTTTTAGAAAATACATTATAGGCTACATGACTTGCGGCACGATTGGCGTTGGTGGGGGAAGGGGTGTGCATTTTTACTACTGATTTTAAAACAAAACGTGTTAGGACTAGAGTTACAGTGGGTACCGAGACGTTAGATATTCAGTGACTATTCTCATTATAAGACACAACAAAGACCACTTTTTGGATAAACAAAATAGGAGCCATTAGCTTAGTATGTGTAAATGGATGGAATACCTTTTTTATAAGAGCTAATTGCAATACACGCACATGTAACAACTTGTCATCTGTCGAACAAGATTGATAGTGTTACGCTTGTGGCGATATTGCTAGCATTGATGTTTAATTACATCAGTTGCATATTACTAAACCGTACTAATCGATAGTCCGTGAGGCATTAAGTGTATGTATTGGGTTTGATATGATAAAGCATGTGAACACCACGTGACACCTAGACTAGCAAGTAGATAGCCAGCTGGCAGATCACGTGAAAACCCCTGCATGTGTGTGGGTATCTCACTACATCACGTGATAACACGTTGGACATAGAGCCAGTAATGCGCTATGGATCGGCCGTCCATCAGGGACATGAAGCAACCATTGGGCCGTCCATCAGATACATGAAGCAACCATTGGGCCGTCCATCAGGGACATGAAGCAACCATTGGGCCGTCCATCAGACATGTTGGACATGGAGCAAGTTATGGGCCGTCCATCAGACATGTTGGACATGGAGCCAGTTATGGGCCGTCCATCAGACATGTTGGACATGGAGCAAGTTATGGGCCGTCCATCAGACATGTTGGACATGGAGCAAGTTATGGGCCGTCCATCAGACATGTTGGACATGGAGCAAGTTATAGGCCGTCCATCAGACATGTTGGACATGGAGCAAGTTATGGGCCGTCCATCAGACATGTTGGACATGGAGCAAACTATGGGCCGTCCATCAGCCACATTGGCATTAGACCCTGTTTGTCGTGCAGCAATAAGTAATGCTATAGTCACACACGCACCCAGTTTTAACCCGGAAATAGATGAGGCGTTGATTTGTGGTTAGGAAAAAAACCCATTCAATAGAGTCGAAGTATGTTTTTAACCTTGACATTGTCCCAGACGGTGAGACAGGAAGCAGATTGGCTCTAACAAAGCAGAACGCCGTGTGACTGAACACATTTGCTTTACACTTCACATCAACATGAAAGAAAAGCCGGCCTAATACATGAGGGACGGGGTGCAGTGGAGCTTACGTGGTACAATCAAAACGCCATTTGTTTGACTCGAACACAAATCATTTGATTTCGGAAGTTTTGAGCAGGGTATCGATTGAGGTGAATCATGCTTCACGTGGCCACAGAAGGGACGGGACTCCTGGGAAATATTGCTTTAGCGGCCCTGTGACTTGCTCCATTTGGGGTTGATGCTCCAGTCCATAACTTAGGCTGTCAACATACACAGTTGACCGATAGCTGTGTCTACATATTGGACACAGGGTTCTTTTTAAACATTTTGCTCCAGCAGGGGAGGGGGGCGCTTGAAACTTTCAGGGATGGAACGGTACACTAGTTGAAATATATGCCTTCAGCGGACCAGTCCCCTCCCCCGTGAGAGATGCTTGTAACACCGGCCACATATCTACATGTGGAGCCACACACCAAGCATGGATACCAACAGCACAAAGAAGAATTAGCGGTGCCCAGCTCCAGCAGCATCCAATCACGTGACAGCAAACATTGCCGACTCAATGGCGGGGGTTCTAGAAGCCCCGGGCCATGTTAGCCTTAGGGTGACAAATGGTAACGTCGACTCCATCGCACGCGGCGGGTTTGAATACTATACAAGTGTACATCTTCCCCCCCCCCCCCCCCCCGCACCATGGTAAAACATGAGAAGACTGCACCTTGTCCACCCTGATCTAGAGCTACACAACACAATACAGTGGGGAGAAGTGTGTTGCAGTGTATGTTATGATGACAACTCAACATCGCTCTCCTTGTGGCATTCGTGTCTGGAATGGCTAGAGCTAACTGAGCCTCATCAAACAGGCACACTGAGATAATACCATAAAAAACTACAACTCTGGTTAGAACTATCAGAAATTATAACTGTGATCATGACCTATGATCATTGCAATGATCAGAAAATAAACGTTTGAAATGGAGGTGTATTAATATTACTGTTCGCGTAAGTTTAGAAACCTGTCGTGTACACAGTATAAAGAAAACGTAATTTAAACCAATATAACGGATGCATTGGTCGTCAAGGCAAGCTTTTAGATATCTATGTAGACCTCCCATATTCACGAAAGGTCAAGCCACCGGCAGATATTCATTTGGTACCTATGGTATTCATACTATCTTATTGACATGGGGGTGTGTACTAATGTGAGGTAGTCAAACATGCCAACAATGTTTGCCCTGACAATGATGTGAACTGACTAGCCCTCACAATGATGTGAACTGACTAGCCCTCACAATGATGTGAACTGACTAGCCCTCACAATGATGTGAACTGACTAGCCCTCACAATGATGTGAACTGACTAGCCCTCACAATGATGTGAACTGACTAGCCCTCACAATGATGTGAACTGACTAGCCCTCACAATGATGTGAACTGACTAGCCCTCACAATGATGTGAACTGACTAGCCCTGACAATGATGTGAACTGACTAGCCCTCACAATGATGTGAACTGACTAGTCCTCACAATGATGTGAACTGACTAGCCCTGACAATGATGTGAACTGACTAGTCCTCACAATGATGTGAACTGACTAGCCCTCACAATGATGTGAACTGACTAGCCCTCACAATGATGTGAACTGACTAGCCCTCACAATGATGTGAACTGACTAGCCCTCACAATGATGTGAACTGACTAGCCCTCACAGTGATGTGAACTGACTAGCCCTGACAATGATGTGAACTGACTAGCCCTCACAATGATGTGAACTGACGAGCCCTCACAATGATGTGAACTGACTAGCCCTTAATGATTAACAAGTTAGCTAACCTCTGTAAGATCTCTAGCAACATTAAAATATACACCACCTAGACTACAAGCAACACATTGAAACAGAACAGCTGTTAGAAATACTGGCATAATACAAATGTGTTACACATAGCTTTGCTGAATCATAAACAAACTACTCATGTTTTACAGTTCATTCAGAACTAAAATTCTGAATTACAGCAGAGTTAAGAAACATTTCTATACTAAAAATATTGATAGCCAATGGACTTTCACCTAATTTGAAAAAGCAATAAAGCAAAATAAAGCTAATTTAGTCAATAAATGTGTTTTTATAAAACAGAACAAATCCTGGCTTGTAGCCTGGAGCTATGAGCTTAAGGAGTCATCCATCAATGTGATACAGATCTTAAGTGTTACCTCACCTATCTCAAACCTCATAACTGGAAGGGAAATAATGACTCAATTTTATGCCTCAGTGGTTAATTTTTTGCTACTGGGATTTTTGTCACAAAGATATGTTTCACTAAGATTTTTGTTGTTAAATGTTTTGTCAATAAGATTTTCATCACTAAAATTATAACATTATCTAAGTGTTGTACAGTATTATTGCTAATCCCTGTGGTTGGTGGATTACAAGACAAACAAAGCTGATGTAAGGTTCCCAGCAATAGCGGTTTAAGCATAAATTTGATACAACATCTACATGAAGAGCCATATACTAGACAGGTGGGCTAATATCAATAGGCCTAATACAAGATTTCATTTTCAAACCAAATACGTTCCTTACATTAAAGTTTTGGCTACTTTTACTAACTTTGTATGCACTGAAGTAGGTTGATTATAAAGATCAGAGTGACTAAATTGTACAATCATACAAAAAATTTAAAAGAAAATTTAAATTGAATCTAGAAAATAAGAATAACAACTGTAAAGCACTTAGTATGTATTTTTTAGAAAACACCCGTCCCTCAATGTTAATCCTAAAATAGTGTCACAATTACTTGAACAGCTGAGTCCAAAGTCCACACTCATTAGAATACAAATTAACTTCTTTATTACTTTTCACCAGATTTATAAAAACAATATGTAAGTATGTAACATAGCAAATTGAGGAAAATAAAAAGAAAACATGGTTTTAAGAAATGCTATGCAATGAAAACCTTGTACAGCTGCATTGTCACAGTAATTATTGATTTGGTTAAGTTCTAGTTATAGCTAACTGTATCTAGTAAAATATCTGACCTCACAGAAAAAAAATTGTGAAAATATTGTATAACAATATTAACAATATCTGGAAATGAGAAAAATAAAGGGAATGAACCCCGTTTTTACTATCGTTTACTTATGTCAAAGTTACTTCCCTTTATTTATGTCAATGTCATTCTGTACAGTCAAGAGTTTAATTTAAAAATATGTTTGTATGTTTAACTTTATGCTTTCGATGATGGATTTCGTCCTGCATGTAAATTATAAGAAGTAAAACACTATTTCTGTAATGATGATAAGAAAAAAAAGTGTGTGCAAGTCTAAGGAGGAATTAATATGACAGACCCAAATTATTAACTTGCCAATGACTGACACTAGTAGTACTGACAGTAGTGGTCAGAAATGTTCAGCATGGCCAGTCACAGTTCCAATTAAGACTGGTTCTCTCATTATGAAAAAGTTTTGAATATATTACTAACCTGATGTTGCAACAATTTTTCTTCAACTTCAGTGTCAGACCAATCAGCTTTCAATGTTAAAGGGAGAAGCTTAGCTTCAATGGCATTCAGCCAACGTCTGAGAGTGTTTAAATCACATTCAAGATCTGAGGGGAAAATGATTTAGTAAAATTTTGTTGTCATAAAAAGGGCCCTAGACTACATTTAGAAACTTATTATTTTTAGTTTTGATATTCATGGACACTTAATTAACTGATCTTTAATTTGTGATATTCATATTATTACAGTTACTTCCCTTAGTTAAAGTCAGGTTCTTATAACAGGGGATGTATTCTTAATTTTTCAGTACACTGCCTTTACTCTCCATATATATTGAAAACAGTTATAATTTACTCAGAATTCACAAGAATTGCTTCAATAGTAAATATTTGAAGCAAGGGGAAGAATTAGTGTTCAAATATTGGATGGATGAACTCATATCTAAAAAGAAGCTAAATACTTGTAGCTCAGTTCTTAGATTGAGTGAGCAACAACCAAACTCACCCTGAAACATGGTGTCTGCATCTTGCTTGCCATACTTGGGTGCTATGGCCTGCTCAACTGCTGTCCACTGTGTGTTCAGTCTAGCCATCCTAGCACTAATCTCATCAGCCATGTTGGGGTAGCGAACTAGGAGCTGACGAGAATAGTTGTTGAGGAATTCTCTGCGAGGTGAGCGCTCTAACATTTCCTCATGGTAGCTCTGAAAACAATAAGATATAGCAATTTATTTTTGTGTAAGTAAACTCAAAGTAAGTGATATCTTAATCTTTAGTTAAGAGCTTGATACATCTGAACAATTTTAGTTTTAAAATACTTCATCTAATGCTTTTACTATACATATTTTAGTCTGAATAAGTGTAGTTGTTCTTAAATTTTATCTTTAAAAAAGTAACATTGATGATTAAATCCATCATTTAAAAAAATGACCCACAGTACAAAGTACAAATGCAGGAAAGTTATGATTAGACTAGCAAGAAGAAAAGAAAACAGGAGTTAAGCTGATAAGGATGAATTTTTATGTGTGGAAAAACAATCATGTTAAATTAAAACAATCAATAACTAAAATTACTTTCTAAATGAATAATCTTCCTAGTAGATGTATTATATATATAACATTACTATAGATGTACCATTCTGGCCAAAAAAATATGATTCAAAGAAAAGACAACCACATTAGCACATACTACAACCAAGATGTCTTTTTAAAAAAACAATTTAAAAACCTTTCACACTGACAACAGTAGATGAGAAGAATATTTAACATGGGGTAAGAATTAGGTTAAGATTAATGAGCCCAGGAAACAAGCAGTGATTAGGTATCGTAAAGAGGGAGGGTATGAAGAAGACAGTGGGCGCCCTGCCAACTAGGTCAGCACGTGTGTTAGGGTGGGTACACCAAGATAACTGTCCATCACACACCCTGCACGGCGCCTGGTGCGTCATTTGGGTGGTTATCAGATGGCGGGAGAAGGACCCTGAATGCCTTGATTTATTCATGCGGCTGTCTGCATGTTGCACGCAGTCGGCTGGCGTGGGTCCATGTATCGATGAAGTAAAAAAAAAATTAAACTGATTTAAGTAAACAATTACGTTGTCACTTGCAAAGCTCATCCAGCGCTCGACCCGCCACCACTATATCTACATAAGAGAAAAACAAGCATAGTGCCAATAGTGGGAGTGTTTTCACAACAAAGACAGCTCTATTGTCCTAGCGTAAAATTTAACGACTGGCGGTACATAATTATTTTCTCACAAATAACGGGAGGGAAGAAAGGTTTAAATAATTGAGTGCTTCTACTGGGGAGTTCCATTGGTGGCTGGGCCCCTGCTGTGCTGTGTGCTTTAACCGCTGGGCCGGCAAGGTTATTTCATGTACAGCCTGATATTCTGTACACACTGATATTCTGTACAGCCTGATATTCTGTACACACTGATATTCTGTACACACTGATATTCTGTACACACTGATATTCTGTACACACTGATATTCTGTACACACTGATATTTTTAGGTCTGTCAATACCTTACCTAGGTAAAGTCAAGCAACTTTGTCAACCGTTACAGTGCCTATGTACTAAACTGATTAGCCCCCCCCCCCCCCCCCATTCAAGGACCCTACACACAACTTGACCTGATTTAGAACGAATACAAAACATGAATGTGTAAACTGCGAGTAAGCAGCGATATTTACGATTGAGAATGGTTATTGCGATCTTTTTATTTGAGGTCTATCGAGACCAAGCCTCCCCTCCTCCCCCATCCACTAGGATCAACCAGGTGAATGGCGCCAGTTGATGAAGCCGGTATTGTCTTTACGTTGTGTGCCTGCACTTCCCCTGACACGTCTACTCACGCGCTTAGACCCACGTGACGCCCGGCTAGAGAACCGTGTGAACCAGCAGATCAATGGGTGGGACACTAGTTCAAACACTACCAACACTACCACGCCACTAGTCACTCAATGCTGGACCCAGGCGTATTCATGACGACGACATGGGTTAAAAGCAATTTCGCATGAGCTCAGCGATGGAGCCTTGGTGATTTGTCGTTAGCGCACTCGTGTAGGCCTGAACGTGTACACAATCGAAATCAACACAACTATCGTGAAGATACAAAACCCTCGAACAATCAATACCCGACACCCACCGTGCTATTTAAGCTCGCAGAAAATACAACGCGTTAGGAACCCAACTGTTCTTTAGTTTAACTTTGGTGGATTGGAACAATGTTCAAGCATATACAAACTCTATAAGATTAGAAGAGCTTATGTCGAACAAAGTTGAGCTTTTGTCAAACTCGTGGTTTGGCCGGGTAGCTGCCCCAGCTTTGCCAAACTGTAGCTGCCCCAGCTATGCCACACTGTACAGAATAACGTCCAGATTCTAACGGTTTGACCACTCCAATCTCCCCGTTAGAGACATTAGCACGAGGCCGTGGGCCGGATTTAGCATGGCGACACGGACAGGAATGTCAACAAACTCGTGGTCAATACCGCCAAAAGTTGGTTAAGTTTGTTACAGTCACAAGTCTACAAGGTATGGTGACAAACGTAGAGAAGCAACAACGGACAAACGATTATGTTATGAATAAAGCATATATTCAAGCATATCAATGAATTAATTATAGCTCCCAGGAATATGATTTAATTTATACTCGTACAAAAAAAACCCACTGACAGTAAAGATATCTTTAAGTTATTGCAAGTAATTTTTTTTTCTAATTTAAAGAGAATTTGTCAGCCTGGTATAATAAGGTTGTAAGTGGTGCGTTTGTTATAGGTTGATTGAGCTTTGTTAAACTACCAATCCAAATGTCAGCTCTAGTGTGACGTTAACAAAAGCATAGATTCATAGGGCCTAGATCTAACAACTGCACCGACCACAGTATTTGTCTACTGTTACAAATCATATCCCTCCAAGCACACAGCTGAATTACAGCTTAGTGCAGCTCACAAAGACCATGTCACCTGTAGCAAGGTGTATCTAAACAAACATCAAACGCCCAGCGGCTGTCCCCGTCAGGCAATGATTTCCTGCTCCACATATCTGACGTAACACTACAGGCGCCAGACCTACATCTTACAAATGACGCAAGTTTGCCAGTTCTAGGGTTGGTTTTAGCACCAGCCGATGTTCGTTAGATAGTAAAGACCGTCTACAACTGACAGCACCCACAAACCAAGACACAGATAAGGATGTATAAAGATCCGTAAAAAAAGATAAATAACAATAAAAGATATAAAAGATACATCAGAAAATCACCATCAAACGGTGATGATGTAAATATTAAATGATCAGGGTAACGGTCAAATCCGGCCCATATCGGTAGTCTATTAAATTAAAACTGGGCGTTTGATCAGGTTTACAGGGGCATAGCTAAAAAGGGCGTGTGCGGCGGCCTCCCCGGGCGCCGACACTGGGGGTAGGGGGGGGGAGACGACAAACGGGATAGAAAAATTAATTAAAAGCTCAATGTGAACTGCATTTTGTAGTATACACAGCAGAAATTAAGAATATGGACTGCTACTTGGTTTACGGACTAGTTTAACTGTTTCTACATCATATGTGTCATCAAAATACAAACTGTTATGGGTCAGTGACGGTTAAAAAGCGTCCCAAAACTTTCCACATGGGGGAGGAGGCGCTTTTTTGACTTGAAAAACTATATATAAGAGGGGGGGGGGGCGCAAAATTGCGCTAACCTCTGCAGGTCTACCGTCTACACTGTGCAGTGGGGAAATGAAACTAATCACTAATGTAAGCGATCCGTGTAGTCAACTGTGACTGATGACTGCTACAGCAACTGGTGTGGACCAACCACACAAACAGCCTACACGTGTCTGGGCTAATGTAGACTGTACGTCAGGGGATGGTGCAGCAGAACGTACAATATGGGGCTATAAATAGTACACGTCTGGCACATTTATCGACTTAGGCAGCCAATTCATTTATTAGTCCCATAAATAAGTCGATAGATTGGGGTCAGTAAGGGAAGAGATCCAGACGAAATAAAGAATACAGCGTTCAAGTTTACCACCACCAGTTTTAGCTAACTGTAGCCTATAAATTTTAATTTTAACAGTTCCTCTTCAAAGCTGTCGACTTATTTTTTGCCTTTTATGTTGAATAGCCACCATATCAGTATTGCACTTGAGAAATCGGTATCATAAATTTACTAGACTGTTATTACTGTATTAAATTCACAGAAATTGTTTAAAAACGCAGACAGTTTTTTACTCAGTGTGCAGTGTGCTAGGTATACCCTCACTCCACAACTACGCATGAGAACAGGGTTAAACGCGTGACCTAGTTGTGAGTTGCATGCTGCTGCCATCAGTATTACGCCACTAACCTACAAATTGTGGGATAACTTTACTGCCCGTGTAAGAGAGTATATTTTATTCAACGGCTGTATAACCAAATAGCACCAATTACCTTAGTTGTAAAGTTAACTAATAAACCTAGTGACGTCAAATAGGCTGACATTTATGAATTCTAGGGTCTAATTCACTTATCTAAGGGGTGATATTTTAAACTCAATGCTTGTTTATGTAAAAACACACAAACTCTCTACTGTATTAATAGGTTACAGATGTTTGTTAACTTGCTACTAGTGATTGGAAAAACTATACATTAACAGTACTACGATTACACAAACACAAGCTACCTGCAGCATGAGTTCTTTTCTAAAAAAAAATTCTCATTTACAAAGAAGTAATTTTTTTTCTTAAATTACAAGCACATTTATCTCAGGTTAATAGTCCAGATATAAATCTAATGTTAAGGAAAATCTAAGCTGTGAGAGAGCTTAAATGTTAATGAAAAATAATCTGTCAAACAGTAAGGGGTCTGAGTGATTGGGTACATGTCAGTGTGATTGATATGTGGTGGATTTGATAAATGTAGACCAACCGATCGAAGTAACATCCAGCCAACATAGGAAAAGTAAAATTAGTCTTGTATGATATGCGTAGATTTTTGTGTACATAAACAAATAAACTTAACATTAGCCAGAATTGTAAAAGTAAAATAAGTCTTGTTGTATGATATGCATAGATTTTTGTGTAGGCCTATCATTATCATATAAACTTAACATTAGACAACATTGTAAAAGTAAAATAAGTCTTGTTGTATGATATGCTTATATTTTTATGTAGACCTACATGTCAAGTTAACATCCAGTCAATATTGTACAAGAAATGCAACTATGTAACCAAAATTTTAGAGATGGACAATAAGTAGTGCCATACTGGGACCTCTTACAGGGCAATTCAATATTTTACCACTCACTATCCCATACATACCTTGGCACTTGCTTGGCATTCTTATAGCTAGTATTAACAAATGAACCCCTAACTTAACCCAAGTGTTAGGGTATTAATGATAAACCAGCTAAGGGTATTAATGATAAACCAGCTATTTGGATATATTATAACTTATATATATGGCTTATCTTTGACTACTTCTTAAATCACGTAAGATGGTAATTAATGCCAATATCAATAGCATCACCATGGTTTGGTTACTTTGTGTAACTTAGAAATAACATAATAGGTTATATGGACTCACCTGATTTAAATACTTCTCAGACAAACTAGTGACCTCTCTTTGTGTGACTTTGTGAACTTGATTCAACCATTCAGTCAGTTCCCTGTACTGTTGCAGGAACTCAGTAAACGAAACATTGGGTGCGCCAACAAAGTCTTCATCATCACAAATGAGATCACTGGCTGTAGACTGAGGACATAGATTTCAGCTGTCATCAAATGTTACACACAGTGATAATTGCTTAGCATACCTTAGGTTTTAAAAATAAAAAGCTCACTATTCTGTTTGATGGGAACAGCTTACAAATTAACTTAAACTTATAAAAAAATTATATTAAAATACTTCCAGCTGATTGCTATTTAAGTCAGAGACCAGGGCTGGTGTCAGAATTAGAGCAGTGACACTAGCAAGCTGGACTGCTAACCCGTAAGTCTCGAGTTCGAATCCGGGTTCTAGTCAGTAGACCGTCCCTGAGTCCACTCAACTCTGATGGGTACCTAACTCACGTTAGGGAAAGTAAAGGCGGCTGGGTATAGTGCTGTCCACACTATCTCTTCGTATGCTGAGGTCTCAGAAACAAGTGAACTCTACTTCACTTGCCCCATAGACCGTCAGGTTTGAAAGGGAAACTTTACTAGCAAACTCATAGCTTCATTATGTGATGGCATTAATTTACAAGTACTCATATATTTTTAAAAATAAATGTAACATTGAAAACTTATAAAACAAACTAAACCAACCTGACAAGCCTCTATGATATCCTTATCCATGAGAAATGTGTCGATGGATCCAATGGCTTTCCACAATTCATTCTGGCGTTCTGCTCTGGTCAACGTGCTAGTGGGAGTTTCAGATCTGCTGCTGTTGAAGCTGGTGGGCGACTCAGATCTGCTGCTAATGTTGCTAGTGTTGGAAGAGGTGTCCAGAAACATGCGTCTGCGCTTCAGAGTATCACAAGGCGAATCTGTGCCTGCCATATCCATTTTCATATTGGAAGCTTCACCTGGATAGATTCCACTAACATCAGACTTTGAGTAGGCATCACCTGAACCTGACATCTTCCTGATAAAATGGGCTGGTGGGGGGAAATCACATAAATCCTTTTGAGAATTACTTGATTCCTCACACCCACCTTCCACTAGCAACTTCTCTAAACCTTCTGAACTCATTTTGCCCGACCTTACACAACAAATAGATGCCGAAGCCTTTGGATCTACAGTCCACTTAAAATTCTGTTGTTCCTCATGGCGGCAGTTGGAAACGTCTTCAGCAGAGATCCCATGTTCAGTGTTGGCCACAAAATCAGACCTCTGTTCGAAACTGGTGAAATTGGATGATGCTGAAATCTCTCCCCAATCCGAAAGCACTGTATATTTCTTTAAATCCTCATCAGTCAGAGAATCAAGGATAAGATCTCCCACTGAATCAACAGAGTTGTTGCTTCCACTTGAGGCTGAATCTTTATCCTTTTCTTCAAAGGAATTTTTTTCCTTGAAATTCAGAGTATTATCATCCAATGGCCACACTTGGGAAATTAATGAATTATGTTTGGAATTTACAGCGGTTCCTTTAACTGAACACAGACAGCTGCTGGATGAAATGTTGCACAGACTTTTCTCATATAACCTCCACAAATCAGACAGGTCAGCTAATTCCAATTTTAGAATCTCACTGTTGTGACCAGAAAGATATGCGTAATCTCTGGCTAAAAGTTGGTCGACCTTCTCTTGTTCTTTTTTGGATTCTTCTACAAGAGTCTGAAATATTTCAAAATATAAAAACTTTTAAATCATGTATTTAGACATCTTTTATCCTATTCTATCAAAATGTTTTAATATTATGGAAGATAAATTGAGGAACATATTAGTAAGAAGTTAAGATGTGTTATTATCATGAACATCTCTCATTAATTAATTACCTTCAGCTTAATTACACTGAACATAATTGAAAATTATCTTAAATTGGAAATGAAATTTTAACTATAATCTATAAATAAAATTAAAAAATAATCCTCTGCACAGCCAAAAATTTGTAATAATTAGCTAGATTCTCTTAGAAAAAAACATAAGACAGCTCTGCCGTATTTTAAGCAAGATAAGCAATGGCATTTATCATTAAATCAATATGAATGGCATTCAAATCACAACTTGAACTGAGAGTCAGAAAGAGATGGCATTATGGTTACATGTGTGCATGTCCTGTCAACGCGGCATCATTTGGTTGGGCTATGCTGGCTAATTATTTTAAAATTTTGGTCTACAGCTCAAGACTATGGTTTGCAAAACAAATGTTTCAAATTAAGGCTTAAAAGAAGGTACTCTACTTCTTGTTATAATGGCCTTTAAGTTTAAGCTATAGGCCTAAATAAATTCTTATACATGCTCAAACACTAATAATGTTGCAACAACCTAATGATAGATCTAATCTAGGCCTAAAGCTTTATTTAAATTAGACAAATAGCTAGCCCATATTATGTTTTTCTAAAAATACATTAGTTATGGCTACTCCCATTTGTTAACTTTGGGTTATTACTTACACCGCATTTAAACTTGCGACATGTATTTCATGTCTTTATACAAACTTTCAGTAAGTAAATATGTTCTGTAGGAAAAATGTTTTCATTTAGTCATTTAGACAACATTAACGTATTTGCGAGTTTTTATTTTCTTACATGTCGCTAGTGTAAATGCAGTGTCTAACTTTAATATTTTAACTTTTTAGTCCTAGTGTAACGAACTACTTACTAGTACTTACCTACAAGTAATAGTATCAAAATTATCATCTGTAGTAGACCAATCACTGAACAGGCCTAACTAGAACTAGACGTAACATAATTTTACTAAAATTTAAATAGCCTGATTACATATATTACATTATTTTTGCCATTTTGACTCTAAAGAATTTAGTTAATACCTTCTAGATCTAGAGTCTAAAGAAATCTAGATAAACTGTTATGACAGCACCAACTAAATTACTAAATGTCAAAAATTAACTTAACCTATTCTAAATCTAAATTCTAGACTTACTCTAATTAACTCTAGAATCTAGATCTAATAAACTAATACTTACTGATTTACTGTAGAATACTGAATTGAATATAGGATCTAGATCTAGAATCTAGGCCTAATAGTAATAACTTAGTAATAAAGCAAGGCTGCTGGTAAGGCTAGCTGTTAGTCTGTTAGACTAACAAAAATTACCATCTAGATTTCTAGATCTAGATTCTAGTAGTTAAAACTAAGTCTAAATCTCTAGATTCTAGCATTTAGTTAAGGACTGACAGTCTTCAGGATTCAACCTCATCAAGTTAAATGTTAAAATGTGTGTGTACTGTTGACCTGGTTGGTAGACTACACTACAGCAGACAATGGAACAACGCACTGCACATTATGCAGATATATGATATTAATTCTAAAAGCCGTCTAAAAGCTCAAATTGTGGCGCTAACTTTAAAGCTGTAATATTAAAGACCAAGGTTTGCACCCAGTGAGTCACACATTTTTCATCGGTTGGTGCCACCTCCTCTGGAATCACACAGGCGTTCACTTTACATGTTCCCTATTCCTAATGTGCAAAAGAGGGTGCAAGGTGGTGGAATGCCGGTATCAGAGTAGCAGGAATGGGAGAGGAATGCCGAAAGAAATTAAAAATATAATTTTAAAATCATTACATCTAGCCACTTAAAAATACATCTAGATACAAATTTAAATATTTAACTTATATAAACTGAAGAAATCTATACAATACTCACATTACAACAAGCATAAACAATACAAACAACGATAGAGTATTTTTACGCTCTTGTCCCAGTTCCGATTATGAACAAAGCTTCGGAACAGCTCGGCAAAAAGTCGAAAACAGGGAGTGCATAGAAGAGAGGAAAATATAATAGTCTGTTGCCATTGGCTGAGACGTTGATTTTTACACCAATGGTGATTTGGTTTCGATCGAAATAGAAACGTAAACACAACAGGGTAATTTCACCACGTGTAGTTTCTATTTATATTCCAGACACAACTACTAAATAGACCTAATCGGGAAATTAAATTGTAAAAGGGCTAGTTAGCCTAAAGGTGATAGCTTTATGATCAGCTTCAGTTCTGGTAGAAAGTGCTACAGCAAAGAAACGCAACTGTGTTTAACAATTAAAAGAATTTACTTAAAAAACATACGTAGAGGCAGGCGTGTTTAGGCCCACATAGTCTTTGATGCAGTCTACTTCTATTTTATGTAAAGCTATTGTTAACCGCTCTAAACAAGTCAAATTCTATAAACTGTGGGCATATTTACTTTACTTCAATTTAACAAATGTTGACGCCTTGGTTTGTTGATTAAAATGAGAAAGTAAGACCTCAGATTTAATGAAAAAGAAAGATTGAACGTGTCATGAGTCTTACTATTTGTTAAAATGTTGTTGCCAACTTAAAAGGGTTAAATATTACAGAAATATGTGGCAATATAATGTTATGTCCGTGAGACTCAAAACCACAAAAATAACATTTTTTTTTTTACCTTGATCAATGTGAGTTTGTTCCCTTGGTTGTGAGGGTCTTCCAGCCGTTTGAGGACTTTATGTCTTTCCCTAAGCCACTTGCGTACATTGATGATGGCTGTGTCCAAATTGTGGAGTTCCTGCTCAAAACTTTTACCCAAATCTGAAGTGGGAAAATATCAACAGTTATGGCTTTTGTGGTAACTTTCCACCCTAATGCTGGTTACGATAGTGTGTGGTTATGAATCGCCAATTATGTATATATATATATATATATATATATAGGCCTATATATATATATATATATATATATATATATATATATATATATATATATATATATATATATATATATATATATATATATATATATATATATATATATATATATAAATATATATCAACAATGAATATTTTTACTGCGTAAGCTGGCTATATTTTAAAAAAAATTAGATTCAAATTTTGATTTCAAGCGACGAGATCATAAGCGATAGTAGGTATTGTGATGGCGAATTCGTAAACCTTTGTTTCTGAAGTATCTTTGGGATAAGCGTTAGGTCTTGAAGTTTAACCAACGGAGTGTTACCATTCCATATCTAGCATTGACATTTATTTCTGATTTAAAATTATCGAAATTGAGAGAGAAAACAATCTATCAAAGCGGGGCATCTCACGTTACTTGCCGTCTTCCCTTCTCCATTGTGCCCGAATAACAAACGTACAACGGAACGTGTCTACTCTAAGACAAGGATAATGATAAAGTCGATAACAAAACGGAAGCGTACACGTCGTCGTCTGATAGTTGCCCTCGTCGTGCGGAACTCGGCATCAGCTCAGTCAGGATGAAGAGGCGGAAAAACAAAACGTTGGAGGAAACATCTGGGCTGGTGAAGACGAGCTGAGGGCGGGGATGTAAAAAATGCCAGCCAGACCTTTCCTCGAGATACGTAATTAGGGCTGTGTTCCAGCACGTGATTGCATCGGGTTGTGACACGCGTGTAGATGCCTTTTGTAGGAGCATACGGGATTTGTATGACATTCTCAAAGTAAGGATGTTTAATCAGCGATAGGATCAGAGTTTCTTCCAGGCATCTCTTCGGGGGGGGACGGAGCCCCCCAAAAAAATTTACCGCCCCCCCCCCCCGAACGAAATGAAATTTATATAATTTATATAGAAAATATATACTAATAACAGTGTCCGCCCCCCCCCCCCCGAAGAAAGTCTACCGCCCCCCCCCCCCCCCGAAAATTTCAAGTGCTCCCCCGGAGAAAAAAGTCTGGAAGAAACACTGGATAGGATACATATACATTTCAAGAGCAAGACCTTCACCACATCCTAATCCTGTCTGTTATTATAAACCTAATGGTTTCTCTAACTACACACACACGCACACACACACATATATATATATATATATATATATATATATATATATATATATATATATATATATATATATATATATATTATACATGGCCTATATATCCCCTACCTTGTTACTTTCTGCGATGCTTCACATCTAAGTCGACAAGCGTTTGCACCGTTTGTGTTTATCAAGGGGAACAAATAACGGCGCCATAGACAAAACGTGACGTAACTGTCAGTAACTGACACAAGTAATTAAACATGGCGGTTGACTAAGTCAGCCCCCCCCCCCCCTGGACACAGCATGACTTAAGAAAGCCACTAGCTGTTAAAAAATGGACACGACATGACTTAAGAGAAGACACCGGCTGTAAACCTCAGAAAATGAGCTACGTGTCATATAGGTGAACACAAGACCTCATTAAGACAACACAAAACACGAACATGGTAGAGATACTCGTTTGTTTACTCGGTCATTGTGAACAGGAAGTGGGGCGAGTGACCTGGTGGGAAAACAAACATAGGACCTAATTGAGAAAAGATTTGTTAGAAAAGTCAAGTTGTTTTGGTGAGGCGGGAGGGGGGGGGGGGGGTGGAGGTAAAAATAATCTTTAATAAACCGACTAGTAATAACAGAAAAAGGCATATTAAATGCTTACGTCGGTGGTTTCTGTAATATAGGCCTATATTTCATATCATCATACAGATGAATTGATTAATGATAGGTTTAATAACTGAAGCTATTTCTTAGTTCAGTATTCTATATAGCTTAGTGAAATATTTTTTAAAATGTATAAGAACTCAGGCTATATTATTCGTGTATGGAACACATCATTAGCACCATCCCAGTGCGGATCATCAACCAATTTTTAGTTCCTTGAACAAAATTTAAAATTATTTTGAGTTTCAAAATGGAAAACGTTTAGAAGCTTTTCGTGTCAACTAAGTTTCCCACCGTGCTCAAGTTTGTGTACATTCCTAAAAGAATTATGAACGCCTATTGGAATATGTTTTTTTCTTTTGCCTTGTATTGTTGTATTGTGTTGGGTCGTGTAGTATATTATGTTACGCTTGGGTTTTGTGTTTTCTGTTTTGTTATTTTGTTTTGTTTTGCTGGATCAATGTCAAAGATAAGACGTTTTAATGCTATGTAATGGTTGTAATGGTTTTAATGGTTGTGGCTATAAGAGCACTTTACAGTTTATGTTAGAGCTGGGTTTGGTGCTATTTGAAGGGAACCGCCGATTTAAGAGGAAAGCAAACTACTATTTAGTTTAATTATTATGTTTAAAATATGTTTAAAATAATCTTTTAATATTCGAAGAACAAGCTGGTGTCTAAAGTATTCCTAGCATTATTTAGTACGGAACAATAATTTTACACGCTTGTCTAACATATTACATGTACGGTATTGTTGAATGTTATTTATATAAATATTTAAATTGAATACATGAATTTAATACAATAAAGCCCACCCTCTTTTCTAATTACACAATGCTTACAACCATGTCAGCCTAGAAGATATTATTACATGAGTCATACTTACTAGATGTCAGTGACATTGTCATCCTCATGCGACAGAACGTCACGACTGACTAGCTAAACGAACATGACACTAATTACTCACACCACTGCACACAACACACCAGCTAGCCACTCACTCGCCCACTGCATACACACGCAGCTTGACCTGACCTTTCGCCCCGTCCATGCTCCTGTCTGACCCAACACACGAGGACCAGTCACTCGTCCTCGCCGGTCCGGGATGTCAAACTGCCGCCATCTGCCATCACAGGCGCCATCCACATCTGTGACTAATGTACGACAACACACTGCCACTGGCAGTCACTGACACGTTCGTAAACAAGTGACGTCGAACAATGCACACTCGAACACAGGTTGACGTGTAGCATCCACAAACTCAAGCAAGGCGTACACACAGCTGTCGCTGTATTGATTACTGCCCCTACTGATAGGTTTTTCTAGGCGGGTTATCTATCTTTACGATACTTTATCTCTCTGATAAGGTCTACGGTGTCTGTTTGAGTTGGCAGAAAATTTATACTACATGGTAGTATTAATTAATTAGGGTTAATTCGATGATGCCGAGTTCATTAAAACGACATAAAAATTGTAACTGAGACTGAAGTATGTCGTATTGAAGTAATTGTATACTAATGGGCTAATACATTATAAAGATGTTGTAATGTTTCAATAACGACAGTTTAGAGATGGCGTTTGATTCAATAAGAGCTGACGACGGCACTGACACGAAGGTCAGTGATCCCCCGCTTGATTTAATAAAAACAACCAACTGGACGTATGGTGAAGCTGTGACAGCCGTGTGACTCACGGGGCAGGCTATGTCCAGAAGGTCAGCCTGTAAGACAGATGGACAGTGAGTAAACGCGTGGAATGGGCGAGGTCTGGGGCAGATGGCCAGCGATAATTCACCTTTAATGTATGTGCATGTTGATTGTGCAGAAGTTATTCAGTTTAAACTAGATTTCTTTTAAGATATTTTTATGTACATTTTTACTTTCTCGTATATACGTAGTATAGAGAAAGTATTGTAATCGTGCAAAAAAAAAAATCGAGATTTTTACAAATCTCGACGTTTTACACCTCACTGATACGGAAAAACATAATTTTGCAATCTTGTCCGTATGTCTGTGTGTGTGTGTGTGTGTGTGTGTCTGTGTGTCCGTGTGTAAACACGATAACTTGATTACCGTTACAGCTAGGTTGATGAAATTTCATATATAAGTATTTAATCAAAATCGTAGATCCGTATCAACTTTTGAGCGATTTCCGATAACCGGAAGTGGTACTTTTCCTACTTTGAATTTTTCAAAAGCCTATAACTTGAGTACTATTTCAGATAGATAAATGAAATTTCATACGTAAGTAAAAGATCTAATTCTCTACCTTCTATTGAATTTTGAGTCATTTCCGTTGACTGGAAGTAGTACTTTACGCTACTTCCGATTTCTCAAAAAACTAATGTAAATTTTAAAAGTAATAATAATATTGCGCACTATTATGCGCTTTTTTATTTGGCGTTCACTTGGTGTGCAATTAATTTGTCTACGAGATTTTATTCTATTTTTAAAACTTTAAGTATTTAAAATGGATTAAAAATCATGTCTATAGCCCGAGTTCCCATCCCCTGTTATTTTATATAAGAATATTCGAGAAAGTTTAGGGGAGATCACTCCCGGTTTATTAATATTTCAACTACTTGATACACAAGTAGTTGCCGACTAGAAGGCTAAAATTAAACGCTGAGCAGTATGTAGGCTACTTTGTCGGGATTAGAATACACCCCAGTGTTATAAATTATAACGCGATTTGCCCGTTATTTTATTTTGGTTATTGGATCCAGGCTATTTACTGCTATAAAGAATATTAAGTTTCTCGAAGACATTTTGAATGTTAAACCCAGAACCATCAAATGTGCGTTCTTTTTTCCCCACTGAAACTATAGAAGTCCTATGAAATTCTTATTACAGATTTTTCTATCACGATGACGAACATCAAGTTTGTTTTTTTTTGTTTTTTTTTAAGAGACAACTTGCTTTAGAACAATTTTTTAAAAGTAAAGTATATTAAGTGCCCAAACCAGGCACTAAATATTTTTTTCTATTAATTCTAGCATTAGATAGACAACAAAATTTAAGAAACATCTATTTTGTCATTACACTAAGTGACTAATTCGATCTATCGAGGCCTCTTTTTTTTAGAATACACGTTTTTTTCTATTTGAATGTTTTTAAATTGAATTTTGAAATTTTAAAAATCTTACGGACATTGCAGGTTGATTTCCAAATTTCTAAACCCATTATGTTTCTAACTCAAAGCTTTTTGTTAACCAAAAAAAAAAAAACTTATTTTTTTCAACTTTTTAGCAATAATGATTTTTGAAAATATTTATTCAGGCGCCTAATCGGAACATAATATACAGTAGCAAGTGATATTAAAAAAAAACGGGATTAGACCACACATAGATCAATACAGTCATGCCTGGTGTCGTTCATACAATAACGATAACACAACCGGGAGAAGTTAATCAGTAGCGAGCCATTGGCACGTGGATTAGGTTAGTTACACAAAGTAATGTACGGTATTTCACTGGTCCGTTGCGCCACTAAGTGTAATCGGACAATGGCGTCATAAAAAGTTGGATTATTCACGCTTGAACTTTTAGAAAACAAAAAACAGCTCTCTAAAATCTTAGAGAATGTCAGAGAGTTGGATGACAACAATAACAAATCAACAAAGAGAAAAAAGTTAAACAAGCTGTCAAGCGTGACATCCCCATCGTATTTACTCACGTCTAACGGGCCTAATGTCATGGCTTCAGGCGACATCCCCATCGTATTTACTCACGTCTAACGGGCCTAATGTCATGGCTTTAGGCGACTACCACATTACTATCAACAATCGATTCTCGTCACACTACTGAAGGAGAGGGGAGGGGTTAAATATTTTGTATATGATCACAGCTGTTCGATGGGCCTGTAATTATGTTAATGAACTTTGTCAATAATTGTCATGCCTGTAGGCTATGATGAGAAGTTTTAAATTATAAGTGAATTTTTTTTATTTTTTATTTTTTTGAAATATTAAAATGACGAGTTTTTCGGCAAAGTAATTCTTTTTTTTTTTTTTTGTTAAATATGTTTGGATAGAAATGAAAAGTAAAGGTGTATAAATAAACAAAAACTATTAAAGTACTTCAGTTTAGCCAAGAGACTGAAGGTCTGTGAACAAATTAAAAGCTTAGTGAAATATCTAACAAATGAACCATCAACAATATGAGTGCAAATATTGTGTATAAGTAATATACAAACTTTTAGATCGGTAGCCTCAGTGGCGTAGCGAGGTCGAATGTCACCCGGTGCGGCACTTAATGGTGTCACCCCCCCCCCCCCCAGAGTGTCCCGGGACAAACTTTCAAATTTTCGATTTGCACCCCCCCCCTCAAGTTTTTCTCTATATATTTTGCTATTTTTTGCCTTGGTGTCACCCCCCCTAAATGGTGTCACCCGGTGCGGCCCGCACCCCCCCCCCCCCTAGCTACGCCCTGGGTAGCCTATAACCGATGTAAGTAAGTAGATATTACGTGTGCGAACATAACCAAACTTAACCAAAAAAGCAGTTTTGTTCATCCCTGGACATTATTTTCTCTCTTTTTTTTTAAATTAATGATTATCGGTGACAATCTAGTAAAACGTGTTTATAATTTTTATCTTTAAAAAAAAATGCACACGCCGTAATGAAATTCGCGTTGTTTTTAGAAACAAGCAGCCAATTCTCATTTTTGACTGGCCTTGAGCCTGCGTTAACCCCGCTAATGTTTAGTGTTGTGCCACATAAAATCCATACCACTAGAACGGTTAATCAATTTATCCATCACACAAACACATCTCAATTTACACTGGATCCACCAAAAGTTGGGGGGGGGGGGGGGGGAAATTTTCTTCTCCTATTGCTTGAATCAATATCGCTGAGTTATCGGTGTGGGGCCTAGGGAAACGGGCAAATAAAACAAGAAATAAAACAATAAACGGGCCGATGGTAATAGCGATAAAGTGGGGTGGGGGGGGGGCGGGGAGGGGGTATTGTAGGCAGGGTTGTGGGAAGTACTACCGGTAAGGTGAGTGTAAAGCGCTTTACAGTAATGTTCAACTTCGATGAACGGCAGGTGAAAATTTAGAACGGACTGACCTAGTTTCCACCAGTAAAGATTTTTGACTGCTCGGATCATAACCGTTTGACCTAGATCTGTTAATCTAATCATTTGTCAATCTTTCGTAACAGCTGATTTGTGTCTTCATTGTTGTTTCATTCTCGACATAATTATACTAGCATTCACTTTTCCGAAAAACTGTGGAGTCGACAGTGTTAAAGGAGTAGGAGAGTTTCCAAAATTAATAGGATTTTCCCTATGTCTATGCTAAAAATAGTTTGAAAATCCAATAAACTTTGATTTTTCTGCAGCTAAACCAACTCTATTGGTTCAAGTTTTTACAGTTTTGTAGACAGCGTTAATTACACCAGCTGTTTGCCTTACCTGTAAGGTTACCTAAAGCACAGGAAATTGTCTTTGATATAAGCTTACCTGTGTGTATCCTCATGTGTACTATCAGGTGTGCACGTACATAAAGCACGCTAGATAAGACTGGCCGGTTAATTAATAGTCCATTCGTACTAATTAGTATTGCCATTTTAATGATATTTTTAATTAAGTTTAGCCGCAACGTATATGGCATGGAATTAGGTAGGTAGAAGCAGACAGGGTTTCTTTCGTGTTTCTTTCGTCCACCCCTCTATCCCACGCCGGAAATAGAAAAATATATACTTCAAATAGAAAATTATACCCCCCACGTAAGTTTCAAGTGGCTTCGGAAATTCCCCCCCCCCCCCCCCCCCCCCCCCCACGGAGAAAAAAAATGTCTAGAAGAAACCCTTGGAGCAGACGGAGCAGACTAAATAATTTGTATTTCACACTGGCACTTGTGGACACAGAAACATTCATAGCGTGAAGCCGTGTGGAAATTGTGTTAAGACTGGCGAAACGAAAGGGCTAAACTAATATAAACTTGTAAAACTTTTTGACAAGTTTCAGCATAAACTTGGTGACCCACAGACTATGTGAAACACAACTAGCCCA